ATGGTGGAAAATCCGAGTCGTCAGACTTTGTATGTAGTATTCTTAGACCGTCTGTGAAGCTGTGACACCAAATTCTGGGTAGAGTTGTATTTAGACTTCCGCAATTTTGTATTAAGATAAGTTGTCAGATTTTGTCTTTCGCTTAATTATTTTCGCTATTTGCATGATATCTACTCATCACTGATAATAGTTTAAACTGGAAAAGGTTAAGTAATTAGGATAATTTGGCTTGTCTAGCTTTCACCAGTAGGCGCCATCACGGCTCTCGAGGGTGTGAAATCCGGGTCGTGACAGGTTTATTTTGTTTAACATTATCTATCTATATTATATTAAAAGCACAAAGGCCCTTAGCGAAATGTCGTTCGCCTTTTTTACCCTCTAAAAATATAGTTAACATTGGATAAAATTGTAATTGTAATATAATTATTTTCCTAATATTTAGGACTTTAAAAATAACTAAATTTAATATATAAAATACTTCCTTATTTGAACTATGTAAAAGCTCCTAATATTTAGGAATCTAAAATTAAATAATATTTTACTTAAAAATTCCTCATTAAATTGTGTAACTATTTTCCTTAAATATGACTTTTCCACGTTTCTAAGTTGTTCATGTTTCCTTAAATCAGATTTTTCCATAAGGCCTGAGATTTAAATATGGAGATATCATCAATTCTGTAAAGTTTAGTTCAAGGTAACAAGCTCAAAGACAAAATCAAAGATAAAGCCCTTTTGTGAAGGAGACGATAATAGTTCATTAATCATAATTAATAAAATATTATATTTAAATAGCTCAGTGTAATTTTTAGGCAAGAAAAATAATTAATTATTATACTAATATTTAGGTTTTATCTTATAGTGATCTTTGAATTCAGGTAGAGTTGTTTTCACTTAAAATTTTAATAATTAGTGATGTACTATATCTCTTCATATTTGAATTGATTATAGCATTCTTGGGAGACGAGAAGGAAGAAGGTATGAGTTGATCTAAATCTGGTTAAATGTATGTGTTATTTGGATTTATATTTACATCTTTATTTTAGATTTTTTTTTATTAGTGTTTGCATTATATGTCTGTAAATTCTGTGTGGCAAATTTTTTCCTTTATTAATCTATCTAATACAATCAATAATAATCATTTTTAAGAACTCGCACCTTTTTAGTTTTATTTTATTTAATAATACTTTTCTAAAATGTATTGTAAAATATTGTTTACCTTTTTAAATTCAAATATAATATTTATGTAATTAAAAAAAATTAAATTTATTGTGATAGAGTATACGCGCAACACGCGTATCGTAAGACTAGTTCTTTAATAAGTACAAATAGTGTTATATATTGTCTATTTAGTGATGCTAACTATTGCTTTAGAAAAGATATTTAAACGTAATACATTAGCCAATCATTAATATGATTCTTGAAGGAGTAATATTGAATTATATTTAATTCTATTTCTGTTAATGTTTACTTATAAACTCATTGTCTTATTGACATTAATTTTATTAATAATTCACACGGGATAATATGTTTACTGCATGTACGCAAAGAGAATAGAAAACATATAGATATCAAGTGTTCTGATCATGGAAACACAATCGAAATATTAGAATTATATACTAAGAATATTGTATGCAGGGAAGTATTATGTGAGATACAATCATATGATCATATGATTGTACCTACGTGAATAAATATAATTGCTAAATTTCCTTGGTTCAGATGATATCAAACATTTTTTTTCGTTCAAATTTCTTGTTACTTATCACACATATGCTTTAATATTATTTATATTTTTTTTAAAGTTTATACTGATTACTATGGGATATATGTGCAACGTACGTATCCAGAAACTAGTATATATAGAGAGAGTTTAAACGGTTAGTTGGGCAATTCTTCTAAGTTTTTTATGTGCCAGTAACCAAAGACAGAAAAACAAACTATTACTAGTCAAACTCTAAGACATCACAAAACTTTACGTAACTCGCACAATTTTACAGAATAAAGTATGAGAGATGATAATGTTTAATAAATTAACTTAACTGAATGGGAGCAAAACCAAAACTGAACAACTTTGTACAGAGTTGCCATCAATGAAATACTTTTCAATGTGTTCCCAAGTTTTTCACCCACCAATCGAAGATTTTCTTAACAATTTCTTATAATAATTACGATCAGCTTGATATATCATAAAATGCACTAAACAAATGAAGTTTATGATTTGCCTTAAACTTGGATCTGGGATTTATTAGACCGTGATGTGCTCTGAAAATCAGGGGCGGATCAAATTGTTTAGCTATGGTTCAATTGATTTTGATGAGGAAAAGCAGAAGGCTACAAACTTCTATAAGATTGTAAATGTAAACCTACTAACATATTTGCAGTTTACGTACCAATAAATTTCAAGATAGTACACTAAGCTCCCATTATGTGCGAGATCACGGGTGGAGTTCAACTACAATTGGTCTATTGTAGATAGTCTAATTACCTTGCATTTCTAATTAAAGAGATTGTTTCCGCACCTTAAACTGGTGATATCTTGGCCATACATCATCAATTCTTATTATTGCGCCAAAGCTCCCTTTTAGAGTACTCCTAGTCAAGCTTAGCTTTCGGAAACACGCAAAGAGAATTTTACATAACTTATGCAATTTTACAGAATAAACTATGACAGATGACAATGTTTCAGAAAACTTAAATGAATGGGAGCAAACCCAATCTCTGTTGTGAACCAACCTTACTTGGTAAGGGATTATGGGCTAGAAATGAGGAACAGGGCTGACCAGACTATTGTGCCAAGAGCTAAAGGCACAGTGATTGAACAAGCAAACAGAATACTAGCACGTTCTATTTGGGATCCAGGGAAGATACGGGGCATGGTGTTGAAGAAGAAAATGTCTGCGCCTCTCATCTCCTTGCTTTGTGTCTAAGCTTCTCATCCCCTTCTTCTATGGTGCATTTATGTACTCTTATCCCTCTCTGTTATCTCTCAATTATCCCTTACTGTTTTATTGTAATTTCCAGTATTTGTAAGTCCCTTCAGTGAATCAATATAGCTAGTTGGTTTGGTTGTTATTCGTTTTGTTACATTGGTGCTTTCATCTAGAGGACTCCAATGGCAGCGGTGATACTAGATAAGTTCAGCAATGACAACCCAGAGGGCTGGTTTTATCGAGAAGAGCGTTACTTCAAATTTCTTGGTTTCTACGATGAAGACTGGTTACCTCTTCCATATTTTTATCTGGAAGGTGATGCCCTCGCTTGGTTTGATTGGCTCTTTCGCAACAAACAATTCCATGATTGGAACCATTTCAAGGAGAAATTATTTTTGCAATTTCGGAAACTACCTGTCGTAGATTGGAAGAGGCGGCTGGATGATTCATCCCTGGTGTATCATAGCTACATTAGCTACTCTACTCTGAATTCATTTGAGGCTCAAGTATCTCCTTTAGCTGATTTGCACCATAATTCCAAGTTTTATGAGTTAGAATCTGCATCCGAAGTTGGTAAATCAGAGGACAAGCATGTGTTCGATGAAATGTCTCCTAGGATTTTCACCAGAGCAGTAGAAGAACATTCTTCTGTTATAACAGCGTGCCAAAGCACAAATGCAAATGCTTATATCTCTCACTTTGTAGCTGATTTGGGCGATATTCAGTCACCTAAGTAGTTCGACGCAATGTTACATTGTTGATGTCCCAATGTATGCGTTGACATAAAATCAGATGCTCCAATCGATATACCTGATTTAGAAGCTACAGGTCCTGCAAGCAGCGAAGTCCAACTATATAATGAAAATGCTCATAAAGATATGTCACAGAGGTACGTTACTGCAACTTCTCTTGATTGCATCACTAGTGAACAACACATTGAATTTGAGACCTTTGAAGACATGTATCTTGCTGAATTTTTCATGGAGCCTGAAACTATTGAGGATCTATGTCTTGATAAATATTTTATGGAGAATGAGGATAGCATTCCAACAAGTGACAAGACTTCGGATGAAATAATGCCCGATGTTGAGCATGGAAAATCTATGAGGGGATTCATTGATCGCCATAATTTGAGTCGATATTCGTTTGATTGTGGTGATAATTTCTTTGTTGTCACCATTCCCATAATTGTGAGAGATCATGGTGTATGGGATCCGGGAATTAGTTCCAAGTTCAGGGCTCTAGCGGGCTCTACATAGAACATGGAGGCACATAAACTTTTTGAAGAAGCTAGAAAAAGGAGCTATTTATTTGCAAATTTGTATGCGTGGGAGCATGAAGGTGGAGTTGCAAGGGGGGTTGAATGTAGTTGTAATTTTAGAAATTCTCATGCATCATACAAGCTAGTAAGTGAGTCTATAGCATTTTCATTCATGAGTTCTTTTGATGGTGCTCCTACACATATTGAAGAGCAATACATAATTGATCAGTTTAGGCATTTATAGGGTGGAAAGGCTCTTGAGCTTAGTATGTTATATCCTGATATGACATCCAAGCTGGTGATTTGTGTTAATGAACTTGCAACTACTGCCCTAGTTAAAATGTATACCAACAATGCTCAATTGGACAGTGCCGAGATGCTATTTTCTAAGACTGTACATGAGGATGAGATTATTGTCATTCGTGCTACATTATGTTTATGGACAAACACTTATCAGAGGCAAAAGGGAGTGATTATGGAGCTTGTCCAATTTATTTCTCCAAAAGAAATTAGTGAGCATGAGTTAACTGGCTCATCCTTATTGAGTTTGAAATTTTGGAAAATGAGATTTATACATGCACCTACTATTTGGAGTAGATATCTGTTAGATATGCACCAAGCTCCTCTAATTCTATTTGGAACTACTTATAATAATGTTATGTTTGGGAAATGCTATGAACCACAGATCTTTTCAAAGGCAATGCAAAATAGTTTCTTGTCCTTCAATTGGTATTTGTTGATGATGGAAAGTACTGTGATCTTTTGTGCACAAAGAGCACTGTTCAAGAACTCCATAACCAACCTACTTGTTGGGGTTACTAACATTCTTGCTTTGGAGAGAATTGTCCGGGAAGCTCAAGTCAAGTGTGACCCTCTAAATGCCAAGATTGTAGCTGGTTGCCTTATGATTTATGGTGGTATTGTGCCAAAAGGTTATCAATGTTGTAGTGACCAGCATCTCATGTCACATTGACATAAATCACATCTTCTCCTTATATTCCACAGGATACCTTGGTGTAGAGACAATTGGCAGGGTGCGCGCTACTAACACCTCTCTTGACTACAAGGTTCTTTTTGAGGACGGAAGTATTGTTGTGAACCAACCTTACTTGGGAAGAGATTATGGGCCAGAAATGAGGAACGGGGCTGACCGGACTATTGTGCCAAGAGCTAAAGGCCCAGTGATTGAACAAGCAAACAGAATACTAGCACGTTCTATTTGGGATCCAGGGAAGATACGGGGCATGGTGTTGAAGAAGAAAATGTATGCTCCTCTCATCTCCTTGCTCTGTGTCTAAGCTTCTCATCCCCTTCTTCTATGGTGCATTTCTGTTCTCTCATCCCTCTATGTTATCTCTCAATTATCCCTTACTGTTTTATTGTAATTTCCAGTATTTGTAAGTCCCTTTAGTGAATCAATATAGCTAGTTGGTTTGGTTGTTATTCGGTTTGTTACAATCTCCATTTCTTAAAGTCTATAAAGAATGGTGTACAAGATTACAACAACAATAACTACACATTAGTCTCAAACAAAATTGAGATCATTTATATGAATTCTTACCGACCATCTTCATCGCAAACAACTACTCTACAATATTTTATATAGAAGATTTACAATATTGAGGGACAAAATTTCCACACAAAAAAAAAAAAAACTCTAAGTAGTTTGATTTCATAGACTGCCTATAAGTGCAGAATGTCTAATGTCAAACTGACCAACAAACTCCAAAGGCCTAAAGGTTTCATTTCTAATCCTTTTAATATTAGGACTTGACAATCCTCTATGCCTAAAGCCATACAATTTAAGCACTTGATTATCTGCAAAATTAAAAGCTCTCTCCATACTCTTCAAACATTTCTCAACTGGATAATCCCCATAACTTCCACAAGACTTACAACCAACAAAATGTGTCACAAATGGCCATCTCTCATCACCAAAACCTGGTTTGTATTTCTCGATCATTTCCTCGTATCGATCAACTAAACCTGCCCAATATCCATGTAAATAATAAGAACTCTCAATAAACACCTTCTCCATCCACTTATTGTTCTGCGAAATCAACAGGTATATCAGCGCTGATTGATCATCTGCTTCAAAATTAGGCCTACCCTTTAAATTTGCTGTTAAAATTTCTCCAGCATCGTCGCGAATTTTACCTTTTGGTCCCATTGGTGCCCAAGAATCAAGCAAATCTAAAGACCATTGACAATTCCTTAGTAGAAAACTCCCAGTGTTTAAAGCAACCCAAGATTTTTCATTTAATAATTCAGGATATCCATGAATAATTAAATTTTTGCCATCATATTTAGATAATGGAATTTCAAATGTCATATCTGTAAACATTGCATCACTATCCATCCACCAAATCCACTCAATTTCTGGGTGAGAAATCATTAGTTTCCTAATTAATGGTAATTTTGACCAGTACCCTGATAGCTGATTATCCAAATGAGCCATGTTGTACACAATTTCTATGTTGTGAATTCTGCAATAATCAATCTTGTTCTTTATTGACTTTAACAAATAATGATCACCAATTGAATTGTCACATGGACTTGGAGGTGAGCCTGTTACCTATTAGAAAAATAGAATAACAGAAATTAAGAAGAAAGACTTATGAGACATGAGAACAACTTTTCTTAGCGATACCAACGAGGGTTGTAGTGGAGTGGTAAATATTCTCTCATCCTTAATCAGATGTTCCGGGTTCGAACACTGGGTACGGAGTCGCCTTTGTTAGGGGGCACTTTAACCCCAATGTGGGACTTTCCGGCGCGAATCCAAATTAATTGAACCCCAATGCGAGTATCGAAATTCGAACACCGGTTGGGAAACCAAAAAAAACCTTTTCTTAGCGAGACTTTTAAGACAAGTTCTTTCAAAATACAACATAGCCACTATATACTGTAAATTAACTACTCAAAATAATCATCTCATTTCATGAATATACATGTTCTATTAAATTTAATTAGAGCTTAGTTTTATGGTTAAAATTCAATTCAAGTTTTAAATGAAGTAGAAAATACTAAGTCTTTTAACAAATAAAGCTTTAAACATATATATATATATATATATATATATATATATATATATTACTAATTAAGTGCCGAACATTACCAGTAAAACACGAGGCTTGCCATTTACATAACTAGGAAATCTTGGATTTTCATGGAGCCAAGCTTTTCTTGTAAAATCCCAGTTGGTGATTTTTGGACCTAGAGTATAGCTAGCATTATGAGAAAATTCAGAATGATCATCTTCGTCGTTGTTGTCGTCGTCGTCGCTATCTGATCGGATCTCAGCAATGACCCGATTAGTTTCTTCAATAAGTTCTTGGGTTTGGTCAAGAGAGGAACTATTAGAGGAGAAGTTGGTGAGTCCTATGGTGCCACGCAATACTAAAATTGTTACAATCCCACATAGGATGGTGAGCTTAAGGTTGCCAAATGAATTGGCAACACGTCGCCGGCGAAGGAGGCCCGCGGAGGCTGAGCGGGCGGAGGCGCCACCGTTCTTTGTGGAGGTGGGGAGAGTGGCGCCCACGCCAGCCGAAGTTAGCCTTTTTAAGGCCGTGAATTGGACCATCTTTGGAATTAAAGAGATAATACAAAGTTGAAAACATGAGAATGAATTATACATATATGATTGGCGATGAAATGAATCTTGACATTTGTTTATGGAGAAAAACGTGCAGGGATGTTCTCGTTACATGCCATGCAAGTGGAAGTTAGATAGAGTTCTATAATAGGAAACATAACCAGCTCATTTTACTTTTTTCTTTTCTTATTCCTTTCCATTTTCATCACATTATTGCTTGTGAGTCGTGTCATTTTTTTATTTTTTTTGTAGTTTTATTTTTAGTGAGCTTCTATTAACAATTATGAATTTAATTTATATATCTACTTATAATGTAAAAAATAATTGCGCAATGGAAAATTATTTGTTTATTTTTCGGGCCGAGTTACAATTTTTACTAATTATCGGTAGTTAGGTGTTATTACAGTGTAAAACAAGACTTTATACACTGCCATTGTATTGAAATTAGACCTACCTTTATTACACCAGAGTTTTTAGGCATAAGTATAATTTTTGTACGCGGTAATGCAGAAAATTTCTTACAATATTATCTTGTTACGACATGACATATGAGGGAGTGACTTCATGGTCAATGAAGTGATCAGTTGAGAATCATGAGATTTCAGACTCAAATTTCATTTTTTTCTATTTGTCCAAACCTTTGATGAAGAATTACTTGATACATGTTGCTATTATAACATGTTAGAATACATTACCAATGTAATTTTTTTACACCATTTGTGTTTATTATAAGTTAAAACATTTAGGCATTACTCTCTTTAGTTTTTAATTTCCTCACACCAAAATATAATACTGTTGATGAGTTCTTCCACACAAACGCCCACCCACCAAAGTAATCTTTGATATGGATCAAATTAAATTAAACACTAAAAAAATACACCAAAATAACAATTTATGATCTTTTAGGGCAAGATTGGTCAAATTTTTAAAGAAAATTGGCAATGAAGCATGAATTACAATAACTGAAAAATACAATAAAACATATGTGATGTGAATAAGGCAAGAGATACGATCTTAGTCTCTCTACTCCTTCGGGTAGGGTAAGGTCTGCGTACACACTACCCTCCCCAGACCCCACTAGTAAGATTTCATTGGGTCGTTGTTGTTGTATACGATCTTAGTTTCACCAACAACAAAAAAAAAGTGATAAAATTGATTGAAGTGTAGCATTAAAAAAAAAATCTAGAGTCTCAATTTCGTAAAATAAAATATGAAGTTAAATGAGTGTAAATGCAGTGAACCTAAGACATTTGTGTTTGAAGTTAGGCTTGGCTAGTTTTCAGCGTTAGACTTTTGGTCGAATGTTTTTATACTACTGCTGACATATGAAGTTGGGGATTGGAAGCCTAACTTCATACCAAACTAATATTTCCCAACTTCAAACTAAATTTGAAACTTCAAACTTATAATTTTTAGCTTCAGTCTCGCGAGCTTGAAGTTGATTCCAAGGCGATTAAAGACTCTTCTTTAAATAGGGGTTTTAAAAAAGGGCTATTTTTGCACTTATATAAGAAGCTTAAAATTGTTAAAAATTTAAAAAGATACTATTAAGGGGTCGTTTGGTAGGAGGTACAAGAATAATGTTGAATAAGTTTTTTACCTTCTATAGCAAAGGTTAACACCTTATTTATTTTAAATAAATATCATTTAAAAAAATTATATTCTATAGATACCTTTTAATGTTTATAGCAAAATATCTAATTTTGGTTACCCCCTACCCCTAAGCCACTAAATACGCTATTTAATTACACTATTTTCTTTCTCTCTCTACTTTGATACATGTCATTCTCTTCCCCCATTCCCTAAAAACACCATACTCAATAAGAGAACAATCAGCTGAGGGAAGGGGCAAATATTCCAGAAATTGCTAGAAACGTCGTCTTGTCTCTTCGCCATTTCTATTATCTTCATCTCTTTTTACTAACACCTTCAATCAAACACCAACCCTTCAGTACAATAAGGGTCAGAAATAAAGTATTCTTCAGCGACAAAAGTGCAGATCGCAAATTGCAACCGAAATGCCATGGACAGTACGGACACTGACATGATGGAGGCGGAGTCCACGGCAGCGCCACCGCAACCTCCACCGTCACAACTGCATTCCAGTTCGGGCCAACACGACGTCGTTAAAGGCATGCTCACTACTGCTCGCCAACTTATCAATCAACTGCATTTTATTGCTCGATGACGGATTCACCGAAAATTAGGGTTTGTTCTTGAACAAAGACAACGGAGTTTGGGGCTGGGCAACTTGATTTTCTGTTAATATATTTCAATGCATTTTCAATGTATCACGCTGTTTTTTCATGTATTTCATTGTATTCATTGTCTTTTTTTTATTGTAATTCAATGTATCTCGTTGTAATCCATGTATTTCAATGTATCTCGTTGTATTTTATGTATTTCATTGTATTCACTGTCTCGCTATATGCCATGAATGTATTCATATGTTTTTTTTTATTAATATAATTTATGTATTCAGATGTATTATATAATTTCTTTGAAGATTGCTTTGTTTTTGGGGTATTTTTCGGTTGAGAATCTTTTTTATAACTGAAAATACAAAATTTGTGTGTTATAATTGAGTTTGTTGAGTTATATTGGGAGTCTATTATGTTAATTGATTCACTTTCCGTTTTAAAAACAGTGTAATCCCCTATTTCACGTCGTGAATACAGTCGAATACAACAACTGATTAGCTGGACTTCTCTGATTCACACCTATTTTTACTACTGTATTCATGAATACAATAGCTTAAATACATCAAATACATCTTATAACCACAGAAAAGGTATCTATAATGCGTAATATAGCAAATGGTATCTATAGATGGCTAATTACTACTAAAAAATAGTGCTTTATGAAAATTTCTCAATTAGTAATGTTGGCATTAGTTATGTCGAGATTATTTCTTATCCATTGTTTGATTTAATGTATTAAAAGAACTACATAATTTCTAAAAAAATAATTATTTATAAAGATACCCTCCACATTCTTAACTTTGTACACTATATTTATTGCAACTGTTTTATTACCCTACAAAATACTGATTATTTGCACAAGAAAAGCGAATGGTCTGCTGTTATGGATCAAGATTCTTACATAGAAGTCAATACTAGACAATAAGAAAAATGATTTTCTAAATAATAGTATAAGAATTTTAATTAATGTTATCTTCATCCGCTATGAGCCAAGGGTCTTCCGAAAACAGCTCCTTTGTCTTTCAAAGGCAGAGATAAAGTCTACGTACACTCTACCCTTCCCGGACCCCATTTGTAAAACTACACTGAGTATATTATTGTTATTAATGTTGTTATTGTTATCTTTATCCGTTACGATTTAACATTTTCTTATGAGTTATGTATTGAAGAAGAATACAAACTTCACCATAATTCATCAATGTTATCTGTTGTGGACAATATTTGGAATAGGTTTTGAGGGATTTGAGGGACAATTATATCTTTAACCATATTTATTAACCTTTGCATTGTTAATATCACATACCAAATAGGATATAACACAATACGAAATAGGATATATAGCTAATATAAATATTAATTATAAGGATAAAGCACTATTATCCCCCTGAATTATACATGAAGTTGCTACGGCACGTCTTATCTTTGCAGGGGTCCTGTTACCACCCCTAAACTTTTTTAAAGTGTAATAAATATCACCTTCAGTGCTGACGTGGCATAGAGAACCAAACATTTGGCAAGCAGTGAAATACACGCGCTGCCACGTGTAATTTCATATTTTTTAAATCTATTTTATTTTCTTCTTTTTTCTTTTCTTATTAATTCGAAATTTAATGAAAATATTATTTTGTATTTAAAAAAATAAAAAGGACAATTATTTTTGTGTGAACCTGAAAAATTATTAGAGATGTTAAGCATATTCGAACGTTGTTGAAGTTTTAAAGTTGAGATTCAAGTGCTAAACTCATTCTAAATTCTTATTGTTCATAAGAATCGAAAATAAAAAAAAGATATTTAGAATCCACCTTTGTTGAACCTTGAAAAAACTTGAAGAACAAAAAAAATTGGTTTGTCGAAATTTTGGTTGTTGGCCAAATTGATTACTAGGGTATGGTGATTATATTGTTGTGAAGTTGTAGTTCAAATTTGAGCTTGATTGGTGCGGATTTAGCTGAGTTTTTGTTGAATTTTGACACAAAAAATTAGATTTGGAGTTCTTGAAAATGGGTGATAAAATCGGGATGAAAAGCTCTTGAAAATCAGCTATGGAACTGACACGTAGCTATTTCGTATAGGTTAGAGCCCCTTTTTTTAAGTTTTCACCCACTTTAAGCAGTGCTCCATGCCAGCAATAAAAGTGCAAAGAATTATGAAAAAAAAGAGTTTTGGGGGTAATAAAACCCCGCAAAGATAAGGTGTGTTATAGCAATTTCGGGTATAGTTCAAGAGAGTAATAGTGTCTTATCCCATTAATTATACATAGATTAAAAAATATATCAACAAGGATTTAATACATAAAATTAATGCATTATATTTTCTAATACCTCCAGCCAAACAACCCTTTTAAGTATTCACCATATCTCCCAAGTCCAACTCGAATAGAAGAAAAAAAGAGTTACATACAAGTAAAAGAAAGAGATTTAAAAAGATATTAGGAAAAAGAAAAAAAAAAAAGAATACATACAAAAATCTGCCCTTATTAATTCACACAGCTCTATCAAAGGTCTAATTACTGTGCACGCCAACTACGATTCCCAGCTCCATTTCCCCATCTCCTTCGCCGGCGAACTCTCGGCGATCTCTTCCTTCAGCAAAATCTCTGTGTAAGTCTTTTTTTGGTCCTTTTCTTATGCTCTCTCTCTCGTTTTACTTCATCCTCTTTAAGAAGTGAAAAAAAAACCCTAACCCCTTTTCGCCAGCAAGTTTAAAAAATACGAACTTTGTTGTGGGTTTTACAATGCCTTTGTGAATTGTGTCTGTTCATACTACATACATGTGTTTTGCGATACTGGAATTAAGATTAGTTATAATGCCCAGTAATTGCCGTAGTTTTCTTAGTTTGTTTAGAGATCTGTATGTCCTTCGAGAATGTAGAGAGAAAAACTC